TGGTTCTGTTAGCAGTGTGGTTCTGTTAGCAACATGTTCTGTTAGCATCATGGTTCTGTTAGCTATGTGGTTCTGTTAGCAACATGTTCTGTTAGCACCATGGTACTTTTAGCAGTGTGGTTCTGTTAGCAACATGTTCTGTTAGCATCATGGTACTGTTAGCAGTGTGGTTCTGTTAGCAACATGTTCTTTTAGCATCATGGTACTGTTAGCACCATGGTACTGTTAGCACCATGGTTCTGTTAGCACCATGTTCTGTTAGCAACATGTTCTGTTAGCATCATGGTACTGTTAGCACCATGGTTCTGTTAGCAGTGTGGTTCTGTTAGCAACATGTTCTGTTAGCAACATGTTCTGTTAGCATCATGGTACTGTTAGCATCACGGTACTGTTAGCACCATGGTTCTGTTAGCAGTGTGGTTCTGTTAGCAACATGTTCTGTTAGCAACATGATGATATTAAGACTGCAACAATTGACCCTCCAGAACCAGGTCCAGCAGACACAAAACATCCAAGGTTTCCCCGCGGAACCAAACTGTTCCGTAGAGTTCAGTTCGTGCAGACAGATGGAGGATCATGGAGACGCCGCCATGACAGGGCGGAGCCCGTGGCTGGAAGGGGGCCGGGAACTGAATCACGATGGCAGGATGGCAAGGCAGCGACACAGAAAACTCCACAAGTGTGTCGCAGTCCTACCCGTAGTGTGGGTGTGCAGTGTAGGCACGGAAAAAGTTTAAACAAAAACAGAAACCAAAAAAAGAACTAGTCGAAGCGGAGCTCCCGTCAGTGCTGCCATACTGCAGCGCACGTGACGTCAGCAGCACCTGCGTCCACATGTTTCAAGAATTTCCAAAAGCTTTTCTGTTTTTCCTTCAAGCTGTCTCCCACAGTCCGTCCCCTGAAGCCGAGCTGTGCAGCTCAAAGAAAACAGACACTCGTATCTGCAGGAGAGTCGCCCAGCTCCATCAGGGCGACCCTTGACCTTTTGGCCACCTCTGATTAAAACCCTCCATGTTTCCTTTTGTTGTCTCCAAAACCAAGAAGGGACGCTGACGGCAGCAGTTCAGAGCTGGAGCCCCGTTTCTGTCCGCTGCTAACGAGCTTCTAATTACATCCTAAACTGTCCCATCAATAAATATCTGAATATTGATGTTTCTGGTCACTGCTCATCAGCTCGCTGTCACACGATGAGCAGCTCATGTTTCACTTCAGTGAAGAAAGCTGCTCGTCCCGCAGCCGTTTCAGGTCGATGCCAGTGAAGGAAACGAGTTTCGACTTTATTTACAGACAGATAAATGCGATTGGACCTTTTTGTTAAAGCAAGAGAACCACACAGAGCTCACTGAAATTACCCGAAACTGACAAAAGTAATGCAGAAAACTATTTTTAAAATCCAGCTGATGGAAATCAGTCTTTATAAAAACAAACTCATGAAATTAGACTTAGACTGAAACTAAAGTGACCACAGGGACAGGTCAGACTATGTTGTGTCCAACAGGCGTCTTCATTCCATTAGTCTGCCTGTTTAAAATGGGACAGGTAGTCACAGGACTGTTTGGTATCGTGGTGTGTAACACACTGAACATGGAGGACAGGAAGCTGAGGACAGAGTGTCTCAGGAGAAGTTTACGGTCCGCAGGACTGAAGACGTGTCCACAAGAGGACAACTGGTGTCAAACTGAAGAGACGGATGATATGAACGGTAACCAAAGACCCCAGAACAACTTTTAAAGAGATTAGAGGTGAACTCTAAGGTCAAAGGTCATCAGTGTGAGATCACACCGTCAGACAAAGTGGACTTTATAGAAGACGTCCATGGAGGACAACAAGTGATGAGACCGAAAGACTGGAGTTTGTTGAGAAGACCGAAACCTTCTGGGAGACAAAACCGGAGCTTTTTGGACACGAGACCCGTCAGCTCTGTGTCCACAGACCCAAACTGAAACCAGGACCAGAACACGGTACCTACAGCGGAACATGGAGGAGGTTCGGTTCTGTTCTGGGGACGCTTTGCTGCATCTGGATCTGTGCAGGGAACAAGGAAACCTGAAGACTATCCAGATGTTCTGGAGACTAATGTCAGGAAGCTCAGTGGACGATCGTGGGTCCATCAGCAGGTGATGACCCAGAAACCAAGAAGGTCTCAGAACCAAACCTGGACTGTTCTGAAGTGACCTTTAATTGATTTGCAGTCAGTTTCTGATTCTTTTGTCAGTGTCGAGTTATTTCAGAGACGTTTGGAGATTCTCCACCAACAAATGTGTCCTCGTCTAGTTTCACAGGGAAAGTGACAGAAACTGCCTGTTTTTTATTTTTTATTTTGTTTTTTCAGGCGAAGCTCTGGGGTTGGACCGCTCCGTCGTGGTTCCGTACAAACTGATCCGCGGCAGTCCGGAGTCTGTGGAGGTCAGCGGGCTTCCAGACGACGTCCCCTTCAGGAACCCCAACACCTACGACATCGTGTGTCTGGAGAAGATCCTCCAAGCTGCAGATGAAGTCGCGTTCAGCATCAAGAGCCAGCTGCAGTGAGTTCACACGCCGTTCACGACCTGAAGCCGCTTCACGATCTGAAGCCGCTTCACGATCTGAAGCCGCTTCACGATCTGAAGCCGCTTCACGACCTGAATGCGCTTCACGACCTGAATGCGCTTCACGACCTGAAGCCCCTTCAAGACCT